GATCCTGGAAGTAGCGGATGTGATCGTAACTGCCTGTATGCTCCCCTCCCCCAACAGGATACGCGAATCGGTACGCCCCCATATGTGATGCAGGTAGCCTTGCCCTAAATTCCAGGACTTGTGAATACCGTGTCCTAACCCAACCCTTAACCATAACCCTACCGATAGAAGCGAACAGGCGAGCTCGGGTAAGCAGTTCACAGGTAGGAGATGCGATCGTTGTAGCAATAAGCTTATTTGTCTGACGTTTCGGTCTCTGTCTTGAACCCATCATCAGATATAACTGTCAAGCCATCATCGCATCAATCACGACCCCAAGCGATGATCACAGGAGCTGCTAATTTTGGTGCGCATGTGGTTGCGTGGCCGGTACGGACTACGAAAACTACGTAACCTGTGCATTTATCATCCCATTCCGCGGTTATCTCTGTTGATGGGTTCCAGCCAGAATCCGAAACGTCAAGCAAATAAATGTCCTTTTCCAGCGATCGCATCTTCTTCTTCTGACCTTGATCGTAACCCAAATCCATAAAGCGGTTTCTGATAACATGTCCTGTCGCGTAGCCACATAGCAAATCCCTACTGCGGATTTAATTTTTGTTTGTTGACTGATCCGTGGGCTTGGAGGTCTACGAGGCAAATCTAATGCGGAGAGCCGTGGGAGTCGGAGGAGAGCGTGATCGGTTGCGCCACCTGCGCGCGACTTGCGGAGCGGCAGAACGACGAAAGTAAAAAGTGGTGGGCTACCGCTACTTGCGTGGGAATGGTGGGTTTGTCACACACACACACATCAGCACAATTATACGGGACCACCGTTGCCTCTCCCTCAACTTGTCTGAGGGCGCAGAGCCCAATTACCATCTCACTACTGACTTTGAAATGCAATTTGAATACCTAATACCCTTTCTTTTTCTTGTTCACGCACAGCTGTAAGTCAGCGCACGGCAACTTTGGTCACCATCACCAATCCTCATGGAGCGAGCCTGGCGGGCGCTACGGTTGTTGGCACTCTGGCCCCGGGGACCACCCTTATTCAATCACAACAGCAGCAAACCCAATCGTCGCCTATGGAGGCCTCCCAAACGCATTTCTCTGACCCCTCCTCCCACCCCAACTGCATGGCGCCCAACCTCAATGTGGTAACCGTCACTTCTAACGGCGCACATCAGCAGTGCGCCAATACGGTGAACATGAGCAATGCAAATGGCCACATCCTGGTAATTCCGCCCATCCCGAACGTTCTTCCCGCACTTAGTTGTTTTCCTTTTTCGCTCTTGGGACTGCTACTGTACCGCCTTAAAGTCAATCGAAGCAAATAATCATACGATCACCCAAAGCAAGATTGGGCTTCTGTCACTAGACTATTCTAGGCAAGAATGTGCAGTGCTCGTATTCTGTTAGTATTCTGTAGGTAGTTTCGCCGTCTTACTTTCATATGTTATGAATGATTTAAAGGGACTGAACAAGTAATACAGGCGAGAATTGAGCCATGTATCGGGGGAGAGGAGGAGAGAGTAGTGTTCGTAATTGAGGGCTGATTGCGGGACGAAGTATACTCTTCCGTTTTGTCTTGGGCTGCGATATAGGGCCCTTGGAACCTGCCTGGACAGCCACGTATTCTCGATCCTTCACTGGCGTACGAATAGCTGAAAATGGCATATTTTCTCCTCTTTCTCCCTCTCATAGCCAGACTGCCCGCTTTACGAAACAGTGGCATATTTTTTTCTCCCTGTCATAGGCAAGGTACACTGATTTAAGAAATCTCCGTAATTGCGGCCGTCTGAACGTGAGCTTCTAGATTAGTCGGAGGCTGACTCCAATATCAGGTGCTCCCAACTCGGCGTTCATGACCGTTATATTTTACGAACACTAGACTGTGAGTTTTCAACTTGACTCTCGGCCACCGTTTTCACTTCATAACCAACTTAG